GTTTGTCGATCTATTCTTAATTTCTTGATGTTAAAATTATAATTGGTTAAGCAAATTTCACCCTGCGTTTGGCTCTTTAACGCTTCTTCCTGATATTCGAATTGTTTATTCGTAAGAGCCTTATCTGGACTTTTTTAAGTTTTAAGATAATGCTTTTAAAATTAATTTTTAATTGATCTTGATAATTTAATCTTAATTCAACTTTTACTGAATTATTTTTTTACTTATGCAACTATTTTAACATAACTAAATTAATTATTTAACCACTTTAATTTAATTAAAGAAAATATTAACTTAACCCATCCCTGCAGAGACACATAGACAAATAAACAAGTATAAGAATTACTGGAATTAATAATTCCGCTATTTTGAATTGAAAATTTTGTGTAATAGCGTGTTTATTTAAAACATTTGAACAATTCTTTATAGCTAAATTAAAATTCTGACAATTATGTTTACGCAAAAAAATTTTTGGAAAATGTACTGTGAGACATGAAAAAAGTGATTCTTCTGTCAAACTTCACTATGTTGAACTTGACAACTGTGTTGTATGTTTATTTACTTACTAAACCTCTCTCGTATATTTATATAGTATTTTTTATTACAAATAAATACGTTTTTATACCTAATAAAATAATATAAAACAATTATATTTTTACAAGCCATATATGTAGGTATATAAATTGAGATAATTAAATTAAATTTAATTATTTCAATAATTTTGTTATTACGTTTATAAAATAGTTATCTATTCTATAATTTATTCCGCAAATAATTAATAAACTGTTACAAAAATTTTGTAGAATTTATATTTTAATTTTGTATTATGTAAACAATATAATTTACAATATATATATAAATACATAATTTATATAATAAAATATGATTATATATTGTTAAAGAAATTATAACGTTTGTGGTAAGTTTAATTGTTCTTCTATTTATTCACAATTTCTTTCAATATTATAATTATATTTTAATTTATTATATAAAATAAATGCTTAGGAAATTCATTACGTTTTTCTTGGTATAGATATTAAGAAATTAGTTTTTTCCTTTCTCTCCATTTCTCTCTTTGTCTTTTTTCTTCCTTTCCTTTTAAGTATTGAGAATTGACATGGAGGCGTGGCCTAGGGGTTTATAGCCGCCATATTGGATATATAACGGCCATAACCCCCTAGATATTGCGAAAATCTGTGGCGAAAATACATATGAGTTTATTGAAAAATCTCAAAATATTAATAACAATAAAAGAAATTTATTCTTATGCCTAAACAAATCCTCAGCTGACAGGTTCGCGGACATTGACGTAGGGTTTAGGATAGTTTATTTTTCTGCCACCAGATGTCATACATGTGCATATGTCAGTTCCCAATATAAAAATATAAATTATTGTATGAATACATTATTTAATTTACACTTAATTAATAGTATCTTTATTAAAATTTTTTCAACGATATACTCTTTTATTCTAAAGAACAACACAAATCCTGAACTTGTTTCAAGGTCATAACATGTCTGGGGTGGATGGTAACAGCACAGAGGGGGAATCTGCATGCGGCCGTGGACCTGCTCAGACTGGACCCGGTTGTTACCGCAATTATGAGCATTATAGTCTATCACGGCATCGGCGCAATACGTCCAATGCTTGTTTCCCGAATTTACCTAATGACCTACCTACTACGCCTGACAGCCCGAACCGTCGACTTCTCGATTTTGTTCAGAATGTACCGGGTACCCAAAATGATGATTACTATCAGGATGAAATGTCGACGCAGCATGCTAACCAGGGGAATATGACTTCTAGCGTAAGTTCAGACATCAAATATGTTTTCACATATTATATATTATTTGCATACAGATATATGTTATACATATGTATTGGACTTTGTTCATGTATCAATGATTTATAACTTGAAAGTTAATACTATTTAGATATAAGAAATAGAAAAAACAGTAGCATAGAGAAAACAAAAATTCTCTATTTTATTTCTTACTAGACATTACAGACGTGCGCTTCGCGCGCGCTATTTAACTTTTTCTTTACTTCTTACTATAACAACGTTTAATGCATACAATTATCATTGCATTAGATTATTAATTCTTCGATACGCAACTGTCAAAATATGCAATGACAACCGCTCACGAAGTTAGCGCAGTGAGAGAACCAATCATTGTGAAAAAGAATCAACAATTCGAAGAACAAACTTCGAGAACAACGATACATTTCGAATTCGGTTTAACATGTCTCTTTTTAGATAGGAGGAAAAAACAAAAAAATCAGGGTCTTCAAGAAACGGTCGAATATCTTGAAAACAAAATATTTTTGAAGAAAATGTTTAAGGTGGTTTTATCGTGCAAGTCTCAGTCAAAAGTTAGTCCCTCCATATGACTAATAATTCAATAAAAACATTTTGCACAGATTGTACGTCTCACATAGACTTATCGTGTATACATATACGTGCACACAACGATACACGGAACATGCGCGATGATATGTAAAAGTGTGACAATGTCGCATTTTTGAATTTAAAACGACCTGCTATTGATACGCGGAATAGCTCGTCGGTACAGAAATGGGTGGCAGGGATCGCCAGCAGGTTCAGGAGAGAGAGCAGCGGAGTTTAAAGAATCGAACTATACAGAATAAATTTAAACGTATAAGATATATTTCGAAAATAAAAGTAACGTAAAATAACTAAACGTCGAGATATAAAATAAACGCGATTAGCGCTACACTATACGGGTTACATGATTTGATAATGTGCAATGATAATTTAAGGTAACGCGAAGAAGTTCTCGATTTAACAATAACGCGAAAAGATCCGTAATTACAATAATGATGTGAGGAAATAATTCCATATCCCCACAGCGGCAACGCGTATTGGTGTTCAGAGCTCGGTTTGCGCGCACGGATCGCGGGGCGGTGCGCGGCGGTTGGGCCCGTCAGTGTGAACATGCGCTCGCGGTGTGGACGGATGTACCGGCTCAATGCGCGAGCACGGCGAGCGGACCGCACGTGGCGATTTAAATCCCCGGGACGTCAGGCGTCGTTAATACGACCGAACCGGGGAAAGACGAAGGAATGTCGACGTGTCGAAGGGAACGAGGGAAGCGATGCGCCCGAGTAACGCTCAGATCGAGGCGAAGTATCGCTTCACCCTGGTATCGCCCTTCCGGGTGTAAAAAATTGAAGTGGCCCTTCCTGAGGAACGCTCAGCAAGGAGAAGAGAAGCGCTCTACTCCCGGGTACTTCGTTGCCACTGTGAGGCGAGTTGTAAGGAAGCCCGCGAACCGTAATTTCACCGAGAAGTGCTCGGGCCGAGGCAAAGCAACTCTCTTTACCCCGGTGTAGCCGGCTCGCAGGCCAGGAACTGGTGGTCCTTTTGATTTCGGGGCTCCTTTTATACCCGGCGCCGAGATCTCCCCCCCCCTCTTTCGCAACAATTTGTTAACAACGGTATAACAAATTCCGCACTCGGCCGAGATCAGCGCCGCGTCGGTCGGGCGGCATCCGGCGATTGTTCGGCCGGGAACGATGCACTTTCGGGGGTGCATCGTTACAAATTGAAATTAACCTTAACCATTGACAGACTGTCAATGTATTAATTTATAAACTTTTCGAAAAGTTAAAAAAGATTCAAATGTTAGAACGCGATCGTGTGGAAAGTGTTAAACGACTGTGCAGAAGTACTCGCAGCTATGCGTGAAGCTAAGAAGTTGAAAATTGATAAATTTGATAAAAATTACAACATAAAGTCTGCATATGAAGGACGATGTATCGTGGAATTAGCAGAGCTAGGAAAAGATTTAAAATGCTGTTCTTGTAAAAAAGTTTTATCTTTAGAAAATATAGTAAACAAGAAACGTAAAGGTCTTTTCTTTATTTTGGTGGTTGACTGTAACGAATGTAATGTATTGACTAAAGTATCTACGGGAAAGGAACATTATGTAAATTAGAAAAATACTAAATTTACTGATGTAAATTCTAAAGCTATGTTAGGTATGTTTTTTAAATTAGATTTTACATTTGGTAATTATTTTTATATTAAAAATCAAAATTTTATCTCTAAAATTTAACCTTTAGGTATTGTACATGCTGACATTGGATATACATCTTTAAATAAATTATTGGCTTGTTTAAACATTCCTTTAGTTTCCCCAAAATATAAACAACACCAACGAGAAAACAAAAAGTCTAGCTATAGAAATGATAACAAAAGAATCCTGCAAACAAGGTGCAAAAAAAGAACACAAATTAGAAAAATTAGTCATAAAGAATATTGAAAAATTATGCAAGGAGCTGTTAGTTTTAAATTTTAATAGATTCATAAAAAAATTTCTCGAAATAAGAATAAAATAAAAATCGTGTCTATATGTATATAGGTATACAAATTTTTAAGATTTGATTTCGGCTTTTAACTTTTCTTTTTAGTTATGTACATACATATATGCAAACAATTTAAATATTAGTATTTAATGAATATTTCATTAATATTAATTATTATAAATGACTTGCTTTTAAGTAATTTTTCAATCTATTTATTATTATATTAAAAGTCTGAATTAATTGTAAGGAATTAATTATCTTTACTTACATTTAAAAAATTTAATTTGAAATTATAATTTTTAAAGTCTATTATAGTATATAATTATAGTATATAGTATATAAGGTATAATAAATCTTGTATATACAAGATCTTATAATTTTTTTATTTTATTTGTTAATTAATATTTTTTTCAATATAAATTCTTTTGTGAATTATTAAATGAATGTTCCTTTTTTCTATTACTAGGCCAAAAGAAATAGTAGAAGAGATTTATCCTCATATGTGTATCCTACAGAGTTCCATAAATAGTAATCCTTCAAACTCCATTAATGACAACAATAATTCTAAAGAAAACACTGTAAAATTTGATGAGGCACTAGGCAATATTGTAAATATTATTGTATCGTATG